CTCAGCACCCACGTGGCAGCTCACAACTGTGTATAACTCCAGTTCCAGGGGATGGAGCACTCTCACACACACCTACATGTAGGCAAAACACCAATGCACATAAAATAAAAATAAGTAAATTATTTAAAAAAGAAAGGTCATCTGCTGTTAACACCTGCCAACTATTTGTTCATTCTTCCTAAAGAAGTAGCTACTATGTACATTGTCTTGCCTAATGATGACACCAAGGCAAAGTTTTATCCATGTAAAGGCACACAGGTCAGACCTACTTTAATGTGAATCTCATATTAGAATATGACATATAAAAAAAAAGTAAAAAGGCCGGGCGTTGGTGGTGCACACCTTTAATCCCAGCACTCGGGAGGCAGAGGCAGGCAGATCTCTGTGAGTTTGAGGCCAGCCTGGTCTACAAGAGCTAGTTCCAGGACAGCCTCCAAAGCCACAGAGAAACCCTGTCTCGAAAAACCAAAAAAAAAAAAGAATATGACATATATCCGTGTGGAGTTGGTGCATGTCTTTAGTTCCAGCACTCAAGAGACAGAGGCAGGCCGGGCGTTGGTGGCGCACGCCTTTAATCCCAGCACTCGGGAGGCAGAGGCAGGCGGATCTCTGTGAGTTCGAGACCAGCCTGGACTACCAAGTGAGTTCCAGGACAGCCTCCAAAGCCACAGAGAAACCCTGTCTCGAAAAACCAAAAAAAAAAAAAGAGAGACAGAGGCAGGCAGATCTCTGTGAGTTCCAGGACAGCCTGGTCTACAGAGAGAGTTCCAGGACAGCCAGGGCTGTTACACAGAGAAATCCTGTCTCGAAAAACCAAAAAGAAGAATATAATGTATCTACAGAAGGGTTGATGTGGAGCACAGTGTACTGAGTTTCCACATGAGAACATACATATAGAAACAATGCAATATAAGAAATGACATCACCAGAAGGAGCTCAAGAAGCATTTGTTTTTTTAAAAGCACCTCTGAAATCAACTTACATATTCAATTCCAGGTGAATCATATTTGAAATGGCAACAGTTTTCTCTCTTTTTCTTGGTAATACATAAAACGATAGCACATTAATTAATGGCAAATCAACAAAGTCCAGTAGTAATAATAAGCACAACTATGATACTAAACGGTTATCATTAATGTTTACAAGCACCAGGTACTTTGAATACTTCATGTAATTCATTCTTGTCATAGTCCCAGTCAAAAAGCATGTTTTGCCAGGTGGTGGTGGCGCACGCCTTTAATCCCAGCACTGGGGAGGCAGAGGCAGGCGGATCTCTGTGAGTTCGAGGCCGGGTCGGACCGATAGCCTCCAAAACAATACAGAGAAACCCTGTCTCGTAAAAACCAAAAAAAGAGCATGTTTTATCCTCATTTTAATAACTAAGGATTTGGGCTGGAGAGATGGCTCAGCCATTAAAGGCTAGGCTCACAACCCAAAATATAAAAACTGAAGATTTAGAATAGTGGTGGAGCATGCTAAAAAACTATAAAAACTGAGGATTTAGCATGGTGGTGGAACATGCCTTTAATCCCACATTCTGGCAGAGGAATGCATATCTCTGAGTTCGAGGCCAGCCTGGTCTACAGAGTGAGTCCAGGACAGCCAGGGCTACACAGAGAAACTGTCTCGAAAACACAAAAAATGAAACAAAACAAAAACCCCAAGGAAACTGATGGCCAGACTTCAAACAACCTGCTTGGTCAATTTCTCTTTTCTTCCATTTCTCTCTTTATCCTTCCCTTTCTCTGTGCTGAGATCAAACGTAGGGTTTCATATACACTCCATAAGCCTGGACCACTGAGCTACTAGTTCCTAGATCAAACCTTTTAGCCCAGGTCTGGGCCTGCTCAAGTTAGGTTCACTGACATGGAGAAAGCGAGCCTTGGAAGGTCTCTTCATAGACAAAGGGATCCCCAAGCACTAGATTTCTAAGATTTGCATGGACAGGAAGAATAGGTGGTTCTCACACACTCTTTCTAAACCCACTGCCAATCTGCCTATCCCAAGACCTGGCCAGGGTGGTGGCGAAGAAACATTAAAGAATTCAGGGAACCCTCAGATCGGCTCCTACTCTAGCTCGGGGCAGACTTTCCCTTCCCCAGCGCATTTCCTAAGGGTAAATGCATACCCAATCCCACTATGTGTTTTCTCCTCCATCTCCCAATCCTCTCTTACCCCACTTTGCACTCCATTCTTTTACTGATCTTGCAGACTGAAGAAACCTGACATCTCAGCCGGGCGTTGGTGGCGCACGCCTTTAATCCCAGCACTCGGGAGGCAGAGGCAGGCGGATCTCTGTGAGTTCGAGACCAGCCTGGACTACCAAGGGAGTTCCAGGACAGCCTCCAAAGCCACAGAGAAACCCTGTCTCGAAAAAACAAAAAACAAAACAAAAAAAAGAAACCTGACATCTCTGGATTCCTGATCCCAATACAATTCTTTTGCTTGCAGTGGCAGAATTGACTATGAAGAGCCAGGACTATAGGGTAGAGCACTTGGCTAGCATAATGGGCTCTTGTGTTTAATTCCCAACATCACACAAGAACAAATGACTGGGCGCACACCTTTAATCCCAGCAGGTGGATCTCTGAGACTTTGAGTGAGTTCCAGGACAGCTAGGGCTCTTACACAGAGAAACCCTGTCTCGAATAAAGAAAAATAAACAAACCAAAAAACCAAATGACAGTGACCAAGTGTCCTGACCTTTTTAGTCTTGTTTTTCCTTAACATTATCTTCATTATCTTCCTGCCTCCTCAGGTAGGTAACAAAGGTCTTGAATCTACCAGATTTCAGAAACGAGGAGGGGCAGGAGCTTCAGTTGTAGGCTTTAATATGTAAACGTTTCTAATTGTTCCCTTGGAAATAGTTTTAAACACAAGGGACAGTTCTGGATTACATTTTTTTCTTTCTTTCTGGAAAAAAGTCACAAAGCAGGAGACAGTGAGATCTCAGTAGATAACCTGTAATACTGCTATTGCCCGTGCGTAGGCTAGGGAGGAGCAGGCTGGGTGAGGCATCTTGCCTACAGTCTAGAGAAGATGGAACTCTGTGTTCTGGCAACTGGGCAGAGGTAAAATTTACCATTGAGAGGGTATCCCTGCCACACAGACTCAGAATCCAGAGAGAGAGAGACAGAGAGAGACAGAGAGAGAGAGAGAGAGAGAGAGACCTATAACCCCAGTATTTGAGAGACAGAGGCAGGCTGGATAGCAAGCCCAAGAAGCTCAAGACAGCTGCATGAAACAACAAAGAAGCCGGGCATTGGTGGCGCACGCCTTTAATCCCAGCACTCGGGAGGCAGAGGCAGGTGGATCTCTGTGAGTTCGAGACCAGCCTGGTCTACAGAGCGAGTTCCAGGACAGCCTCCAAAGCCACAGAGAAACCCTGTCTCGAAAAACCAAAAAAAAAAAAAAAAAAGCAGCAGGAGAAAGAGGGGATGGGGAGGATTACGTGTGCAAACAGAGGACTTTCGTACTGGTTATCCACGCTCATCCTCCCTCGTAACAAGCTTCTCACTTTGGGACTTTAGCATGGACCACTCCCATGCCGGGAAGGGAATGCTCTTTCCCCTACATTTTCCCTATCTACCCTGTCTTCTCGCAGATCCTGCACACCTGCCACTCCTTCCAAACTGGACTTCCCAGCTTGCTCCTTGGGAATGTTGTCCTTTATCAATGACTCAGCACTCCACAGCACTGAGCACGACTTGTAAATATCTTTGTTTCTTGTCTCTCATCTCCTGGCCCCTATAGTAATGTCTGACAGTTAATGCTTGTTTCAAGACAAAAGGCACAGGAAATAAATACAGGCTAGTGACTGGGGAGCTGGCTCTGACAGTAAGGTGCCTGCCATATAAACTTTGATCCCAGTACCCATGTAAAAAGTCAGGTTCATAATTCTCAAGTGGGACCCTGTGAGATTATTCCCACCACAGCATGTGTATTGGTATTGCTAAAACAACTAAAATAATATTGTTGAGCTATCTTGAATGTAGCTTCCTTGTCATTTCTAGGAGACATGGTAACAATAAGAAAGAAAAAGATGGTCAAGGCGCACGCTTTGAATCCCAGCACTTGGGAGTCAGAGGCAGGCGGATCTCTGTGAGTTCCGGCCAGCCTGGTCTACAGAGCAAGTTCCAGGACAACCTCCAAAACAATACAGAGAAACCCTGTCTCAAAAAACCAAAAGCAGAAAAAAGAAAAGGCCATGGATTGTAAGCATATGGAAGGTATTGGACAGAAGAAAAGGAAGAGGAAATAATTTGATTATATTTTAACTTAAAAATTCGTTTAAAAGTGCCAGACGTTGGTGGCGCTCACCTTTAATCCCAGCATTCAGGAGGCAGAGGCAGGTGGATCTCTGTGAGTTTGAGCCAGCCTGGTCTACAGAACTGGGGAAGGCAGGGGCAGGAGGGTCCCTGAGGCTTGCTAATGAAGCAGTCTAGCTGAATTAGTGAGCTTCGGGCTCAGTGGGAGAGCCTATCTCAAACATAAAGGTGGATAATGAAGTTGGAGGCATAGAAGTGCATACTGCTTTCGAAGAGACCTCTAGTCTGGTTGCCAGCACACACGTCATTGGGTAGCTTACAACCACCTGTAACTAGAGCTTCCGGGGAAAGCCAACACCTAGAGCCTCCATGGGCACCTGCACGAACATGCACAGGAGCACATATTAACGTAATTTAAAAATAAATCTAGCCAGTCATGGTGTCACTTGGGAGACAGAGGCAGATAGATCTCTCTCTTGTGAGTTCAGTCCAGCCTGGTCTATATAGAAAGTTCCAGGACAATGAGGGATCCACAGAGAGAATCTTATCTTCAACAATGACAACAACAATCTAATAAAACAAAGAACAATTGAAGACGGTAGCCAACATCTCTGGCCTACACACATACCTCTGTCTTTCTCTCTGTCTCTGTCTCTCTCTCTGCCTATACAAAAGGAACTTCACAGGGAAAGAAGCCCAAATCACACACTTGAAAGCAAACAAATGCACAACTCGGAGACACAAAAGACGTATTTTATTCTTTTAAAACCCTGAGTGAGGAGAACTGGAACCTTTGGTTTAAAACAGAATGCTGAGCTTACAGTGGGTATGAGGTTCAACAACAAATGAATTTGGAAGCTAATAGGGGAGGGGTATCTGGATGGCAGAGTGAGCACAGAATGATCGAGTGAGATCGAAGGGTGAGACTGGCCTACAAGAAGGAACGTGGGTTTAGTCATCCCATTCATCATCCTCTTCATCCTCCCCGGTCTGATCCTCCCCTTCATCTGGAGGAAAAAAGATTCAGGGTATGACTCAGGATAAGAAAGTATGTTCAAAGGCCCTGAGACAGTTCCTATGGCCCAGGAGGTAAAGACTCAGCCCTGGGGCACTGAAGTTTTCTGCTGAAGGCACACCTTGGGCAAAATAGGGATTTGGGTAAGGGGTATTCTAGCTGGAGTTCAAGCTCATGCAGTATTGAAAAAAATGTTAGGCGGGGTATGGTGGCACAGACCTTTAATCCCAGCACTCTGGAGGTAGAGGCAAGTAGATTTTTGTGAGTTTGAGCCCAGCCTGATCTACACAAAGAGTTCTAGGACATCCGGGCCATATAACTAAGTGAGAAGCCAGGCGTTGGTGGTGCACACCTTTAACCCTTGTCTACAAGAGCTAGTTCCAGAACAGCCTCCAAAGCCACAGAGACACCCTGCCTCGAAAAACCAAAAAAGAAAAAAAAAACACAACAACTAAGTGAGAACCTGCCTTAAAAACAACAAAAGCGGGCTGGAGAGATGACTCAGAGGTTAAGAGCACTGGCTGCTCTTCCAAATGACCCAGGTACAATTCCCAGTTCCCACATGGCAGCTCACAACTGTCAGTAACTCTAGTTCCAGGAGATCTGACATTCATGCAGGCAAAACACCAATTTTATTTAAAAATTAAAAAAATATATTTTAAAAATGTTAATGGGCTGGGCAGTAGTGGCACAGGCCTTTAACTCCAGCACTCGGGAGGCAGAGGCAGGTGGATCTCTGTGAGTTCGAGACCAAGCCTGGTCTACAGAGCAAGTTCCAGGACAGACTCCAAAACAATACAGAGAAACCCTGTCTCGAAAAAAAAAACCCAAATATATATATATATTTTTTTTAAATGTTAATGAGCTGGGCAGTAGTGGCACAGGCCTTTAACTCCAGCACTCAGGAGGCAGAGGCAGGCAGATCACTGTGAGTTCAGTTCGAGGCCAGCCTGGTCTACAGAGTGAGTGAGTTCTAGAACAGCCAGGGCTACACAGAGAAAACTTGTCTCAAAAAACAAACAAAAAGTTAATGGAGTTGGACATTGTGACCCACGCATATAACTTCAGCACATGGGAGGGTGAGGCAGGAAGATCATGAATTTTAGGCCACGCTAGCTTAGGCATAGTGAGTTCTGGGCTAGCCTGAGCTATATAGTCAGACCCAGTCTTAAAAAAAATCAAAATAAGCACTCGGGAGGCATAGGCAGGCGGATCTCTGTGAGTTCAAGGCTGGGCTGGACCAACAGCCTAAAAAACAATACAGAGAAACCCTGTCTCATAAAAACCAAAAAAAAAAAAAATCAAAATAGGCTCTCTTTCCTGCTCCTCTTTTTCCCACTCTCTTTCCTGCGGTTCCCCTGGGGCAAACAGAAATTTTCCGTCTCCCTCTTGTCTTCTGTCTTCTCTCTCTGTCTTTGTGTCTCTTTACCTCTTTTCTCTTCCCCTTCCCTTTTTTCTTTTTTTTATTATTTATTTATCTCATGTGCATTGGTATTTTGCCTGGATGTATCTCTGTGCGAGGGTGTCAGCTCCCCTGGAACTGGAGTTACAGACAGCTATGAGCTGCCATGTGGGTGCTGGGAATTGAACCTAGGTCCTCTGGAAGAGCAGTCAGTGCTCTTAGCCACTGAGCCACCTCTTCAGCCCCCACTTCCCTTTCTAATAAAATATCTCACTTAAAAAAATCAAAATAGTGGAGCAGTGGTAGCGCTCACCTTTAATCCCAGCACTCAGGAGGCAGAGGCAGGCGGATCTCTGTGAGTTCGAGGCCAGCCTGGTCTACAGAGTGATTGCCAGGACTGCCAGGGCTACACAGAAAAATCATGTCTTGAAAAAACAAATAAATAAAAATAAGGGGTGTCATGATGGCTCAGTGGGTAAAGACATCTGCTCTGGGCCTAACAACCTGAGTTTGATGCCCGGAACTCCTAAAGTGGAAGAAGAGAACTGAACCCCACACACATGTGGTCCTCAGATGGCTCCATGTGCACCAACATACGACACACATATACAAAATAAATAAATGCAAAAATGCACATGGCTATGGCTCAGTGGGTAGAGCACTTATCTCGCATTTAAGAAACATTGGGTTGATTCCCAGCAAACTTGGAGTGGTTGTGTGCTCACCTATTATCCCAGCCCTGAGGAGGTGGAGGCAGGAAGCTCAAAAACCCGGAAGCTCAACATCAAGTATGTAGTTTGTGCCACAAGCAACAACCATCACATGTTGTCAGTCTGGGTATTCATGATAACCCTATGTTACTTAATGTGGCAGGGTTAAACATTAGCAACAGTGGGGCAATTTATTATTGTTTCTTAGTGAATTAATACTAATATTGTTGATTCAGAATGAACCTAATGAAAAAATTATCAAATGATGAGATTTTTTTTTTGGTTTTTCGAGACAGGGTTTCTCTGTATTGTTTTGGAGGCTATCCTGGAACTCTCTCTGTAGACCAGGCTGACCTCGAACTCACAGAGATCCGCCTGCCTCTGCCTCCCGAGTGCTGGGATTAAAGGTGTGCACCACCAACGCCTGGCTAAATGATGAGATTTGTTAAAATAGTCACATAATGGATTCCATTAATCTCGTAGACATACTCAGGTTAATAATAATAGTATTGTGAAGTTGCAGTTAATAACATTATTGTTAATCTGTTCTCAACCTATTGGAAATAGGCCAAGATTAGTATTGCCCTCAAATACCGGGTTAATGAACATTCAGTTCTTAACATAATTGGAAAAAGGGTAGCTTAGTGCCCAATAGCACATACAGAGCATATGGAATGGTGCAGAGAAGATCAGTGTGGCTCCTTTACAATGATGACACGAAAATTCATGAAGAGTTTCACATTTTTGCACAAAAAGACTAGGTTATGATATTACCATGCAATGAATTGATGTGACTCTGTGAGCTGTTGAACTTAATGTTAGTATTATTGCCAAAGAAGGAGGTTTCTCTTTTTTAAATTATGTCTTTGTGTGGCAGTCAGAGAATCACTTGTGGGAAATAATTCTTCTCTACTCTCAATACATGAATGCTGGATGTGAGTCAAAGTCAAGTCACTGGGCTCGGCAGTTGCTGCTTTTACCAACTGAACCATCCCTCTAGCCTCTTGCTTTCTTATTTTCTGTAACAGGGTCTATGTAGCCTTAGCTAGCCTTGAACTCTCTGTATACCAGGCTGGCCTCAAACTCATAGAGATTTGCCTGCCTCTGCTTCCCAGGCGCTGAAATTTAAAAGCATTTGCCACCACACCAGCCCGGCAAAGATGGAGTTCTTGCTTTTTTTAAGTTTATTATTTTATGTATGAGAGTTTGCCTGCATGTACGTTTGCACATCAAATACATGCCTGGCGCCTGTGGAGGCCAGAGGAGGCCATTGGATCCCTAAGAACTAGAGTTATAGATAGTTGTGATGTGTCGTGCTGGGAGTTGACCCAGTGTTGTCTGGAAGAGCAGTCGGTGATCTTAACCAAAGATGGAGTATCTTCCCACAGTGAGCTAGTGTCGTCTAACAGTGTCCTCTGAGCTAGAGATTGAAACGTTCCATCTGGCATGGAAGCTCCTTAAGCCAGAAGATAAACAATTCAAAACAGCTTCAAGGAGTCCCTGAAACTGACCAGACTCACCAGGCCCCTTCCTCTCAGCATAAGCAGTAAAGACTACTACTGTGAGTCATTCTCACACAAGCCAACCTCAAAGGAGACTCTGAGACCAGATCAGCTGCCTGGAAGAGGCTTAGACCAACTGAGTCACTTAGAAAGGACACTCTCCAATCTGATGAGCAGCCTGCAGGCTGTAGAGTGCACTCCAGGCTCCCAGGTTTGTGAGCTGTCACCCATGCTAGGGTGGGCTTTGATCATGTTGCTGTCTTTGAGTCATTTCTGCTCCAGTCAGTAACCCTTCACCCATATTCCAGTAAGTAACCTCAATAAAAACTCATTGGTTCACCATATTGGACTTTGGTGGTATCTGTACTTTGGTCTGTCATGGGTCCCCTATCTGGGGTAAGTAGATAAATATTGTGTGTTGTGTCTTCCCACGAGAAGTCTTGTCACACAACAAATGTTAATACCACTGAACATATGTAGTTAATGTTCATATTGTGAGCATACCCTGGCATATGTTAATATTATTATCAAAAATACACATCATTGTATTACTCTTGCCTGATGACTTGATGTTAACATGTTGAGGATGGCTTTCAAATGGGAAATTCATGTTAATACTGCTATCCACAGATGGTTGAACGTGGGATTTTGTCTTCACTTCTGGGAAGGGAACCTAAGGCCTTAAGTGTGCCAGGCAGGACAGCCTCTACTGTCAACTGTCGTTTTTTCCTGACTCGGCTGCCCTTCAATTCAAGATCCTTCTTCCTCAACTTCCCCATCACTGGGTGTACTGACATATGCCATCACACAGACCTCTAGTGTCACCGTTAGTGTCACCTGGAGCTGGTTCGGGGCCAGTTCTGTTAGCCCTGGGAGTCAGGTCCCAAGCCTGGCAGAGTGGGCTCACCTGAGGAATGGATGACTCTACTTCTCTTCTGCATCACCTGCATCAGGGCACCTACTAGGCCCTCTGACCTCTGAGGCGGTGGCTGCTGTACTGAGTTTTCCATAGCGCCAGGGGTCTGCACCAAGACATTGGAGCACAGAAGGCTCAGGACTGTGAGACGAACATCTCTCCTGCCCTGTCTTCCACACCAATCTCCCACTTATCGCTGGATCCCCCAAGTCTGGCACGCTCACCAATCTCAACCATGGCCCCCAATTATCTATCCTGCCCATCTTTACCTTGTTCAGCTGAATTCCCTGCCGGATTTGATCCAAAAGTGCACCCCGGCCTCCACCAGGCGCTGGCCCCCTGGCAGACGCCGAAGTAGGAGGGAGTGGGGGAGGGGCTGGCCCACTCTCAGTGCAGGGTGGAGGAGGTGGTGGTGGTGGTGGTGGAGGGGGTGGCGCTGGTGGTCCCCCAGCTCCAGGGACTGGAGGAGGTGGTGGTCCAGATCTTCCAGTGGCTGGAGGAGGTGGTGGTGGAGGGCCCCCTCGGCCTGGGGGTGGGGGCCCCCGGGGTGTTGGTGGGGGCGGGGCACCCCCCCCAGGTACAGGGGGCAGTGGACCACTGCGGCCCTTATTGCTCCCCGCAATAGGAGGTCTCAGGAGTTGGCTCCCTCCTCCTTCTCCTCCTCCTCCTCCTCCTCCTCCTCCTCGGCAAGGCGGGGGCGGTGGCGGGAGTGGCTCTATACGGGGGGGGGGGAGAATAACACATAAGTCTCATCATTTTCACTGGTTTTCTGGGCTTCATTTTTTTTCTTTTTTTGGCTTTTCCGGGCAGAGTTTCTCAGTATAGCTCTTGCTGTCCTGGAACTTGCTTGTAGACCAGGTTGGCCTCAAACTTGGAGATCCACCTGCCTCGGCCACTCCAGTGTCCTTATTAAAAACATGCGCCACCACTACGCCAGACTTCACTTTTTTCTTATTCGTAAACTAGGTACCCCAACTGATAAGATTCTTGACTCTTTTCCATAAAAAACTGGGTGACGTGAGGGTAACCACCCCCAGGACAGAGGAAAGGGGGCTTACCCTGGCGCCTCATCTCTTGTCGGACAGCCTCTATCCCGCCCTGGTCCTCAATGAAGTCATAGATAAGCTTAGAAGTCTCTGCATCAGTGAGCTGGGCCTCGCTGATTCCAGCCCTGGAGAAGAGGCTCCGCAGATCCGGGTCAAGGTTGTTCACCTGCACCGGGGCCGAAGGGGCAGAGCAGGTTTGCAAGAATAAAGCAAATCAGGAAGGGGCACAGATTATCACCACATGCATCACCAGGAGGGATCTGGGAAGGCTGTGACAAGGTCTGGGTCTGAGAGTGGGGTCTGAGCCTTGGTCTCCAAGAGAGTATAAGGAAGTGGAGTCCGGGGTCTTTGAGCTACTCACGTCAAATCCGTTCTGGGGATCCCAGCCCACGTGGCTGACATGTCTAGGGAAGGGAAGAGGTATCAGTGAAGCCCCAGGGGCTTCCCTCACCTGGCAAAGCCCTCTTGCCCTCACCTTCCCAGAAGGGCTCTGAGGGGCCGGAACAAGTGAGCAAGTGTGAGCAGGAGTTTGGGAAATTACAAAGGTGCGGCTTGTGAGGCCACTTGTTCCTCTTCTCACCGTCTGATCCTGTGTCCACCTTGGTTCACACCCGTCCCTCCACCCGTCTGCTCACCCACATGTGTTTACAAATGCGCCCACCAATTTCTCTTTCCCCACATTGTCTACCATCTATCATGTATTTACCTTTTCTTCCTTCCCCTCTTCTGCCCTTCCCTTCCTCTCCTCTTTCCCATACCCCACTTTCTTTCTTTTTTCTTTTTTTCTTTTTTTTTTTGTTTTTTTGCGAGACAGGGTTTCTCTGTGGCTTTGGAGGCTGTCCTGGAACTCGCTTGCTAGTCCAGGCTGGTCTCGAACTCACAGAGATCCACCTGCCTCTGCCTCCCGAGTACTGGGTTTTTTTTGGTTTTTCGAGACAGGGTTTCTCTGTGGCTTTGCAGGCTGTCCTGGAACTAGCTCTTGTAGACCAGGCTGGCCTCGAACTCACAGATTTCCGCCTGCCTCTGCCTCCCAAGTGCTGGGATTAAAGGCATACGCCACCAACGCCCGGCACCGACTTTCTTATATGAATTATTTTGTTTTGTTTGTTTGTTTTTTGAGACAGGCTCTCTCTGTGAAACAGCTCTGACTGTCCTAGAACTCCCTCTGTAGACCAGACTGGCCTCTAACTCACAGAGATCCACCTGCCTCTGCCTCCTGAGTGCTGGATTAAAGGTGTGCGTCATCGCTGCATGGCTCCTGATTTGCTTTTGGAGACAGCATCTCATGTAACCCAGGCTGGCTTCTAACATTCTAAGTAGTTGAAACTGACTTTGAAGCCTTGGCCTTAATGTCACTATGTCAAAAGTGCAGGGATCACAGTAGTGCCCTACCACCCGTGGCAATCCATTTGCATTTTTACATTAGATTTCACACTTGTCTTCACTTATAAACTATCCATTCATCCACTTGACTGTCTATCTATGCCTGTCCACTTTGTCTGTGAACCAATCAGCCTACATATCAATGCCCTGCCTGTATCTCATCCACTTGCCCACTTACCACTGACTCATCTATTCCTCCCACCATTCGCCTACCCATTCAGTCTTCAACTCATTAATTAGTTAATTCACCCATCCACTCACCTACCCATCCACCCATTTGCCCATCCTTCCATGTGCTCAGCTGTCCACCTATTCACATGCTTTCCCGCCCCCTGGGATCCTGGGGCTCACAGAGGGAAAAGTTCTCACTTGAATCCACTTGGTGCACCGATATCAGCTTTACTGATCTTCTTCTTCCCTGAGCGTTTCTTATCAGCTGGGCCAGGGCCAGGTGCAGGGAGCCCACGGTATCGTGAACTTGTGATGTCAGGGTTCTGAATGTCGACTGTCACAAGTCCTAGAGATATTGGACTACCTGATGGGCCTATGGAGAAAACAGTGTGAATGAATGACTGATCAACTTACCTACTAGCTAAAGCACAGGGGCAAGAAATAGACTATTGAAGAAGTCGTGTATGTGTTTGATGGGCATGGAGGAAATGGATGACAGGAGTCTAGACAAGGACCATAGATACCAGATGGTGGTGGCGCACGCCTTTAATCCCAGCACTCGGGAGGCAGAGGCAGGCGAGTCTCTGTGAGTTCGAGACCAGTCTGGTCAACAAGAGCTAGTTCCAGGACAGGCTCTGAAGCCACACAGAGAAACCCTTTCTTGGAAAAACAAAAACAAAAAACAAACAACCCCCCCCAAAAAACAAAACAAAGCAAAGACAAAGCTATGGAGAGGTGAATGGATCCCCAAAAATATTCAGTCACTGATTCATATATGCTTATCATTCAAGTAGTGACTCATTCATTCTCTGGCTGGTAGGCTAAATGGTTTGTTAAGTTATTTATTCATTTAATCTTCTCTGGGTCAAATATTATGTCATTTAATGTCATTTTTGTGATTTAATTGTGTGTGTGTGTGTGTGTGTGTGTGTGTGTGTGTGTGTGTGTAGGTTAGAAGACAACTTTGAAGAGTTGGTTTTCTCCTATCTTTATGTGGATTCTGGGGATAGGACTCAGGTTTCCAGGTTCGGTGACAAGTGCTGAGCCATCTCACCAGCTCTCATTTGTTTCTTTTTTCACTATTTATCCATTTACATACCCATTCATTAGTTCACTGAACCATCCATTCATTACTTGAATACAAGTATTCACCCATTTACCCAAATACCCACTCCCCTATTTATCTATAATCTATCATCAGTTCATCTTCCAATTTACTCATCTATCTATCTGCTGCCAATCCATCAACATGCTCGTCTATCCACTCATCCACCCATCACGTCATTCCAAGTTTAAGCATTCATCTAACTGCTCACTCATCTAACTCGCCACCGTCTCTCCAGAGACACGAAAAGCACTACTCACCACCATGATCTCCACCTGGATGTGGGGGTAGAGGCGGGAGCCCTCCTCTTCTCTCTGGGAAAATGGAAGAAGTTAAGATCTGTTACAGTGTTGCCACAGGTTTCTGGGTTAGTTCCTTATAACCTCTACTTGAACTAGAGGACTCACCTTCATTGGTTGGTGCTGGTGGTGGTGGTAGCTGGCGTCGTTCTGTGGTTAAATAGGTAGACTGAGAGTCAGAATCACGAGAGGGGCTTTTCTAGCCTCACAACCATGTACTGGCTTCTGTCTGACTTATCTCCCCAACCCCCACCAAGGCCTCCTCCTTACCTCCACTTTGCCTCTGATTCCTTTTTTGTATCTTCTCCTGCACCAAGGCACGGAAGGCCTGGGCTTCGCTCTCATCCGAAAAGTTCAGCCCTACTTGGCAGTCCTATATATGCCTTGGGGTCAGAAAATTTCTAGCACTCCCTACCCCCAAGATTTTCTCATCGCCTCCCCACACCCCAACTGCAGCCCAAGGCTAGGCCGCTCACTTACGTCTCCAGCAAAGGTGTGGAAGAAGGGGGTGGGAGTCAAGTAAACCAGCTGTGAGTACAGCTCCTGTTCCCAGAGCAGTCGGCCAGCCTGGAGAGGGGTAGGGTGGGGGACATGCTGGCAAGCAGGCACCCTGGGTGGCAGACTTTTGTTTTCTGATCGGGAAGTATGGTGTCCATATTTGCTGTCCTAGAGTCTTAGTTAGAGATCTTCAGCTTAATAGCAGAGTTTGGGGTCTAGGTGTCTGGTATGGGGAATTGGGGTAGAGTCTTAGGAGCCGACACTGATGTGAGAGATCTAGGTCTGGGATTTGAGGCCGATTTGTAGGATTTGAGGGTTCAACGCTGTGAATTTAAGATTCTAGGCCTATGAATATTCATCATGTTGGATTCGGAAAAAAAACTGAGGCTGCGGCCCAGGTAGAAATGGGGCATTTCAGGGGAGTTTGTGGAGCAGATCGGGACCCTGGCATGGGCCTTCTGAATTCAGTCATCTAGGACTCCAATGAGAAAACATAACTTGGGATTTTTATTGGTCTTTGGCTCTGGAGTTCTGATGGGAACTAGGGCTTGAGGCTATGGACAAAAACTGGTTTTGCAGGTTGGAGACTAGCTTTTCTGTCCAGTGGGGCTTTGGGTCACCTGAAGGCCATAGAGGCGAATGAAGTAGGACTTCTGGGGGTTATCCTTCACGAAGCACACAGCCCCGCAGTGTTCCATGGTCCAGTGCTCAGCTCCAGGGGGCAGTGCCAGGTACAGCTGAACAACTGCAGTGGCCAGTGTCTAGGATGGGAGAGCAGGGGGTCACTGGAGTCTGTCCATGGGCAACCAGGCCTGGCCCCTGCCTGCCTGAGGCTGTCATGAGCTTGGGGGAAAGAGCTATAGCCAGGAGGGAGGTAGATATCAAGATAGTCGTGGGATCCACAAACTGTGGTAAGTGGATGTTGGGAGAGGAGATGGGGGAAAGGGAAAAGAGGAATGATGGGAAGAAGAAGGAGCAGGGAAGTATGGGTAAGAGGAGGAGGCGAAGGGGGAAGAAGAGGTAGGGAGGAAGAGGAGGGAGACTGGGAGGACCAGGAGATCCCCGACTCACCCAGCATTTTCGGCCAAGTAGCTCAAAGAGTCGCTGGTTCTCATGGTCCTGGAGAAGGTTGGAAGGAATGTTCTGCTGAACTGCTGGTCCCCCTCGACCTGCAGGCCTGCCTCCTACAGGGACACCACTCATGGTGCCTTCTGCCCTAGTCCTCTTCGGCTAAGCTCTGGGTGCAGGGTAAGAAGAGGAACTTCCGCAGTGAGCAAGGGAACAGGAAGTGCAATAAACCACAAGGGAAACAAGTCCTCCAGGGGCCCCCAGAGGGCCTGTCCTCCTCTGTAGGACTGGCTGGGGCCATCCTCCATTTGCCTGGCTAAAACCAATGTTTGTAATGAGCTCAAGGCTCCTTTCTTCCTTTTCTCCCCCGCCTCCCCCCACCATTTCTTCTGACAGGCTCAGATCTTGCTCTAACCTAAAGTCATTTGCAGCACTTGTACAGGGTTGGCTGCACAGAGAGTAGTCACAAGGCTGTGTCACCTCCTTCTTCCCCAAAGCACCAGGCTGGCCTGGGGTTGAGTCCAGGACTCCAGGTACTGAAGGGTCATTGCATTACAGCTTTACCTTGTAATGGCACAGCGGTCCCAACTCCAGTCTTGGACATTGCCAACAGCATGTAAGCCCATGATTCACTTCCCCATCCTTTACCCTTGCCTCCTGTAGCTCCCTCATTACTTTCTTCTTATCAACCTCATTCTGGAAGGAAGGACTTCACTGAATAAATAAATGCTAAAACAGCATCTTGATTTCTTTTTTTCTTTCTTTCCTTCTTTCTTTCTTTCTTTCTTTTTTTTTTTTTGGTTTTTCGAGACACGGTTTCTCTGTATTGTTTTGGAGGCTGTTCTGGAACTCGCTCTGTAGACCAGCCTGGACTGGAACTCACAGAGATCCGCCTGCCTCTGCCTCCCGAGTGCTGGGATTAAAGGTGTGCGCCACCACCGCCCGACTTTTAGAATTGATTTAACTTTATTTTGTGTGCATTGGTATGAAGGTGTCAGTTGTTAGTTGCCATGGGGATGCTGGGAATGGAACCTGTGTCCTCTGCTGGGCCATCTCTGCAGCCCTTTATTGATTTTTCTTATGTTGGGACTTTTTGAAAGTATGTAACCTTTGAAGGTTTGATTTTCTCCACTTTTGGTGATGAGAATTGGATACAGGATCTTGCTGGGCGGTAATGGCACTTGCTTTAATCCCAGCACTCAGGAGGCAGAGGGATAGGATCTCTGTGAGTTCGAGGTCAGTCTGGTCTACAGACTGAGTTCCAGGACAGCTAGGGCTGTTATACAGAGAAACCCTGCCTCAAAGAGAAAGGGGGGGGAGGGAGGGAGGGAGGGAGGGAGAGAAGGAAGGGATAGGACCTAGTCCATGCATATGCTGTACCATTGAGCTATACCTTCATGTCCTCTAATTCCATTGCTTCTTGGATGAAGCAGACAATTGGGACTTGGTCTCAGGTGTGGGACAGCAGTCTGGAATGCTGAGCAGGTCTCAGACATGGGTAAAAACTCTAAAGTGGAGGTTCTCGGGCCTTCCTGGGAATCTCTCGGCTCTCTATGCCTTCAGGCTGCCATTTGAGATGGCTCCTCCAACTTTCTCCAACCTCTCCGCTCTTCTCTAAATAGTTTATGGTACCCACAATACACAGAGCTATTAACACCTCCAGGCCCCAAGAACCTTACAACCTGTTTGCACTTTCTTTCCTTTGGGGGTGGGGGTGGAGGAGGGAGTGGGAGTGATAGAGTCTCACTTAGTCTAGGATGACCTTGAACTTGCTATGTAACTGAGGATGACATTAAACTTCTGACCCTCTTGTCTTCACCTCCCATATGCTGGGATTACAGATGTCACCATACTGGGTTTGCCAACATAATGATGAGGGCAAGTTCATATTTAGGCTTAAAAGGCCATTGCAGTATGTTGGGTGTGGTGGCACATTACTTTTAACCCCAGAACTTGGGGAGGGGAGTACAGAGGCAGGAAGATCACTCTGAGTTTGAGGACAACTTGGTCTACATAGTGAATTCCAGAATAGGCAGAGTTACACAGTGAGATCTTTTCTTTTTTTTTTTTTTTTTTTGGTTTTTCGAGACAGGGTTTCTCTGTGGCTTTGGAGGCTGTCCTGGAACTCACTCTTGTAGACCAGGCTGGCCTCGAACTCACAGAGATCCACCTGCCTCTGCCTCCCAAGTGCTGGGATTAAAGGCGTGCGCCACCAACGCCCGGCTCAGTGAGATCTTTTCTAAAAAAAAAAAAAAGCCATTGCAAGCTGTGAGTGGCCCAGTGTATTACTCTGATGCCCAGTCCCAGTAGTGTGTGTGTGTGTGTGTGTGTGTGTGTGTGTGTGTGTGTGTGTACATTTTAATTGAACTCTTTCTACAAGCAATGTTTTACAGACTAACTTCTGACTTTCCAGGTAACTGAGGCTGGCCATGAACTTCTGATCCTGAAGCCCCTACTTCCCAAGTGCTGAGATTACAAGCATGCGCCATCATGTTTTATGCAGTGCTGATGATCAAACCCAGGGCTCCTGTACCAAGCAAGCACTCTACTGACCAGAGCTCTCTTGTCTTCTTTATTTGTCTCTTTCTTTTTTTTTAAAGATTTATTTATTTATTACATATGCACCAGATTGAATTGTAGATGGTTGTGAGCCACCATGTGGTTTCTGGGAATTGAACTCAGGACCTCTGGAAGAGCAGTCAGTGCTCTTAACCTCTGAGCCATCTCTCCAGCCCTATTTGTCTCTTTCTTCCTTTCTTCTCTCCTTTCTTTCTTTCTTCCTTTCTTCCTCTGTGGGTTTTGGTTTGTTTTGTGGAGGACAGGGTTTCTCTGTGTAGATTTGGAGGCTGCCCTGTAACTCACTTACTGTGTAGACCAGGCTGGCCTCAGCCTCCTGAGGGTTGGGATCAAAGCTGTGTGCCATCACCTCCTGGCTTCTTTCTTTTATGTCCCAGCCACAGTTTTCCCTTCCTCCTCTCCTACTCACTCCCCCCAGCACCACTCTGTTTCCCACCCCCAATCCACTCTGTTTCTGTTTCTGCACAGGTCTCCCATGGATATCAACAAAACAATCTATATAGTACACATTGAACTTCTCTATTAAGCTTATTTCTAGAAACTGGCACAAACTAGACACTCAAGAAGTATATCTGCTGGGTATGGTTGCACACCCATGCAATCCAAAAAGTTGGAAAAGAGAGGTAGGAGGACCAGGGGTTCAAAGTTAGCCACAACTACATAGTGAATTAAAGGCTGGCCTGAGCTACATGAAATCCTGTCTCAAAAAGAAAATGTGTTGAAGGAAGAAATGTGTGATTTAATAATGTTTAATTTGCTGAAGTGTGTTAGGTCTCAAAGAAACTTGTCCCTGGTTTGGTTTTTTTTTTTTTCTGGAACCTTTGAAGAGTAAATGCCAATGCAAGTTAACTCAATGAATATTCACAGACAACCCTTTGGGGAAGGCACAATTGTTATGCAAATTTTCCTGATGGGGGGGGATACTGGAGCACAAACTGCCTAAGGTTACAAAACTAGGGATTGGTGAGCTGAGGCTAGTTCTGTGAGAAGTGGTTCCTAAAATCTTAAAACCACTCATGGGCCAAGATACAATTCTCTATGGGGGTTTGAGCAATTGCCTAGTACCAGAGAGCAGGCAGCTCACAAGCTGTGTCTCTCTCTCCAGCTCTAGGGGAACCAGTGCCCTCTTCGGGCCACCGTGGACACCAGGCACACACGTAGGCACAGCTAAAAAAACTCACTCGCATGCAAATCAACATCAATTCTCCTGCTCCTCCCGTGTTTTCAGTTCTCCATCGTCTTATTACCTCGGTAACAAGCCTCAAGAGCTGCCCCCTTTACATCACATCATGTTAAACCTCTATGCTTCTGCCAGCTGGTATTCTTGAAATTGACATTTTAAAGTTATGTTTCTGTCTCTGTGTTGGCACAAGCCTGTAATTGGGAGGCAGAGGCAAGTAATCTCCATGAGTTCTAGACCAGGCTGGTATACATACTAAATTCTAGGCCAACTTAAACCTATACAGTGAAGCCCTGTCTCAAAAAACAAAAAACAAAAAGAAAAACAGAAAAATAAACCATGGTTGTGTTTCTGTTTTTTTTTATTTATAAGTAGCATATAGAGTTAAAATTTATACTTTTCCTTTAAAAAACAACAACAAAACCTACAAACGAAAACCTAAATCATATGTTATTTTCAGGCTACAACAGAATGAGCTCTCTGGAATATAAGGTCTTATTAATTATTTTAACATCATTTAACATACTGTCCACATTATTGAGTTCTTCCAATGACTTGCAACAGTACTTCAAGACTGCTTTATTTTAAACTCTGGTCCCTGTTGGCTATTTTTCTGTACTGGCTGTCAGAACTTGAGGAGACTGCCCTCAAGAGTGAGTTCCTCTCCTGGGCCTTTAGACTAATTAAAAAAAAAAAACAGAGACCTTAGTCCAACTTTTCTGGTTGTTCTGGACTGCGCACCTGGTCTGATGCAATTCTATTGCAGCTGGAAGCTTCTAAATCACTTCTTAGTAATCCAGTGAGTACCAGGAACCCCCAAGAACTGGACACACCACCTGGCGCTCCTGTGTCACCTCTCCCTCCCAGCCCCTGGGCCTTCAGGTGGAGAACTGCTTCCTGTTTTGATTTTGCTGGGGTTTTCTGTTTGGTTTGGTTTTGGTTTTTGGTTTTTGAAAAACAGGGTTTCTCTGTGTAGCTCTGGGTGTCTTGGAACTCGAACTCACAGAGATCTGCCTGCCTCTGCCACCTGAGTGCTGGGATTAAAGGTGTGTGCCACCACTGGTTGGCTTGATTTTGCTGGGTTTTGTCTTTTTTTTTTTTTTTTTTTTTTTGGTTTTTCGAGACATGGTTTCTCTGTATTGCTTTGGAGGCTGTCTTAGAACTCACTCTGTAGACTAGGCTGGCCTCGAACTCACAGAGATCCACCTGCCTCTGCCTCCTGAGTGCTGGGATTAAAGGTGTGTGCCACCAACGACAGGCTGTTTTTTGTCTTTTTTGTAATAGAATCTTACTACTGTATGGCTCAGACTGGCCTCAAACTCACAATGATCCTTCTGCCTCAGCCTCACAAGCTGACAGATGTGTGTCACCATGCCCAGCTTGCTTCTTGTTTACAGTAATAGGTTGTACTTAGTTTCCTTTACAATTGGCCTTCCATACCTGTGAATTTCACCAATGATTTAAAAGATGTGAAAAATAAAGTGAAAGCAAAAACAAAAGAACCAGCCGTGCTGTGTTGAATATAGT